ACATTGGGGACACTGAGATGGGGAGGGGGGACATGGGGACGTTGGGGACACTGGGATGGGGGGACATTGGGATGGGGAGGGGGGGACACTGGGGACATGGGGAAGCACAGGGGGACATTGGGAAAGGGGATGAGGACACAGAGATGGACATGGGGACACTGAGGACAGGAACGGGAAGGTGGCAGGTGGGGACATTGGGGACACGAGAGATGGGACATCGGGGACACGAGACGGGAGGTTGGGGACATTGGGGACATGAGAGATGGGACGTTGGGGACAGGGTGACATTGGGATGGGGACAGAGGGGACAGGGACACGGATGGAGGTGGCACAGGTGGACCTTGGGGACATCAGGGTAGGGACAGGAGGGTGGAGGGTGGGGACATCAGGTCTGGGGACAGCGGAGGGACACGAGTGACGTTGGGGACACAGGAAGGGATGGCACAGGGAGGGACACGGGCACAGGAGGGTGCCAGAGACCACGGGGTTGGGGACACGGGGGGACAGCAGGGACAGCTGGAGGGTCCAGGTGACACCGGGGGGGTTGGGGACACGGGGGGACATTGAGGGACAGCTGGAGGATCCGGGTGACACCGGGGGGGGGGGCCGGGGAGGGCACTGGGGACATCGGGGCAGGGACACCGGTGGCACCTCAGGGACACGCGGGGGCACTCGGGTGCCACCCCCGTGACGTCGTCGCGGCCCAAGGGTGTCACCAGGGCGACCGGGGGGGTGGGGGAGGGGACGCGGGGACATCGGGGACATCCCCCCGGCGTGGGCGGGACAGCGGGGACACCGCTGGGACACCTTGGGGACAGCGGGGACACCGCTGGGACAACTTGGGGACAGCGGGGACATCGCGGGGACACCTTGGGGACAGCGGGGACGGGATGGCAGCGCCACCGGGCGCCCCCCGCGCCCTCCCGCTCCTCATCCTCATCTTCCTCCTGCCCGGGGGGGGACCCGCAGGTGGGGGGGACAGAGGGGACAGGGGAGGGACCCAGGGGAGGGGTCTTGGGGGGACACTGGGGGGGACAGGAGGGTCCCGGGGGAACCAGGGGGCTCCTGAGGGGGACATTGGGGGTCCCGGAGGGGACACTGGGGGACACTGGGGGGGGACAGGAGGGTCCCGGGGGGACATTGGGGGGACACTGGGGGACAGGAGGGTCCAAGGGGGGCATTGAGAGACCTGGAGGGGACATGAGGGTCCCTGGGGGGACATTGAGGGGGACCTGGAGGGTCCCAGAGGGGACATTGGAGGGGACAGGAGGGTCCCTGTGGGGGACATCGGAGGTCCCGTGGGGGACAGGAGGGTCCCGGGGGGGACATTGAGGGACCCGGAGGGGACACTGAGGGGGACACTGGGGGACATTGGGGGACCTAGAGGGGACAGGAGGGTCCCGGGGGGACACTGGGGGGGACATTTGGGGACAGGAAGGTCCCGGAGGGGACACTGGAGGGGACCCAGCGCACGGGGGGGTCCTGGGTGTCGGGGGGGGGGGAGGGACCCGGGTGGCCTCGAGGGGACCCCAGAGCTGTCCCCGCCCCCCAGGGCCCCCCCCGGGCTGGCCGTGGGGTGACCCCGCCCCCACCCCGGCACCCCCAATGGCCCCCCCGGGACCCCCCAGGCCGCGCTGCAGCGGGAACCGGCCCGGGGTGAGTGCGGGACTGGGGGGACTGGGGAAACTGGGGGGGACTGGGGGAGAACTGGGCAAAACTGGGGGGACTGGGGGGACTGGGGGAGAACTGGGGGGGACTGGGGGGCGCTGGGAGCACTGAGGGGGAACTGGGGGGGAATTGGTAGCACTGGGGGGAACTGGGAATAGCTGAGGGTGAGTGGGAGGGGGCACTGGGGGTGACTGGGAGGGAACTGGGAGCACTGGGGGGAACTGGAGGTGACTGGGAGCACTGGGAGGGTCACAGGGGAGCTCTGGGGGGAAACTGGAACAGGGGGTGACTGGGAGGGCACTGGGGGTGACTGGGAGGGAACTGGGAGCACTGGGGGGAACTGGAGGTGACTGGGAGCACTGGGAGGGTCACAGGGGAGCTCTGGGGGGAAACTGGAACAGGGGGTGACTGGGAGGGCACTGGGGGTGACTGGGAGGGCACTGGGAGCACTGGGAGGGTCACAGGGGAGCTCTGGGGGTTACTGGGTTGAAAGTGGGAGCACTGGGAGGAGTCGAGGAGCAGCACTGGGAGGGAGCTGGGAGCACTGGGGGCCAATGGGGGTTACTGGGGGTCACTGGGAGGTCACTGGTGGCGCTGGTCTCACTGGGGGTCATGGGATGTCGCTGGTCGGTGGCACAGATGGCACTGGGATGTCATCGGTGGCACTGGGGGTCACTGGGAGATCACAGGGGAGTCACTGGGATGTCACTGGTTGGTGGCACTGGTGGCACTGGGATGTCACTGGTTGGTGTCACTGGGGTGTCACTGGCCCCGCTGGGGGCGGGGCCCGCTCTGACTCCGCCCCCCAGCCCCGGTGCCCGCCCCGCCCCCCCCGGCTCCGCCTGGACGTCGCCGCCTCCCCCGAGTTCGGAGCGGCCCCGGGACCGAGAGCGGTGCCCGCGGGGGGACGCGTGTTCCTGCAGGTGAGGGACATAGGGACAATGGGGACAATGGGGACATGGGGGTGACGCGCGTTCCTGCAGGTGAGGACATGGGGACAATGGGGACAATGGGGACAATGGGGACATGGGGGGACGCGTGTTCCTGCAGGTGAGGACATGGGGACAATGGGGACATAGGGGACAGGGACAGGGGACCGTGTTCCTGCAGGTGAGGGGGGAACGGGGACACGGGGGACACATGGGGGACCGTGTTCCTGTAAGTGAGGGGACAATGGGGACAGGTGAGGGGACAGGGACAGGGGACCGTGTTCCTGCAGGTGAGGGGGGAAGGGGGACTCGGGGGGGACGCATGTTCCTGCAGGTGAGGGACAGGGACAGGTGAGGGGACCGTGTTCCTGCAGGTGAGGGGACACAGGGGACACGGGGGACAGAGACAGGGACAGGGGATGGGTGAGGGGACACAGGGGACACGGGGATGGGTGAGGGGACCGTGTTCCTGCAGGTGAGGGGACAAAGGGGACAGAAGGGACACAGGGGAGAGGACAGGTGAGGGGACTGGGGACACGGGGAACAGGTAAGGGGAAGCGTGTTCCTGCAGGTGAGGGACAGGGACAGGTGAGGGGACACGAGAGGGGAACACGGGGACACAGGGGGGGACACGGCGGGGGGAGCACCGGAGACACGGGGGGCGTGTCCGTGCAGGTGAGGGGGGAACGGGGGTGTCCCGATCCCCATCGCTCCCGTGTGTCCCCCCCGTGTCCCCCCTGTGCCCCCCTCTCTGTCCCTCCGTCCCTGTCCCTGTCCAGGAGTCACCCCCCCACCGTGACCCCCCCCCCCCCGCTCTGTCCCTGTCCCGGTGTCGCTGTCCCCCCTTGACGCCCCTGTCCCATGTCCCTGTCCAGGTGTCAGTGTCCCCCCCCGCCCATGACCCCGATGTCCCGTGTCCCCGCAGGTGTCCCCGTCCCTGTGATCCCCCTATCCAGGTGTCCCTGTCCAGGTGTCGCTGTCCCCTCTGTGACCCCCCTTGTCCCTGTCCATGTCCGTGTCCCCGCAGGTGTCGCTGTTCCTGTCCGGGTGTCCCTGTCCCGGTGTCGCTGTCCCTATGACCCCATGCCCCTGTCCCGGTGTCCACGCAGGTGTCGCTGTCCCTGTCCCTGTTCCTGTCCCGGTGTCGCTGTCCCTGTGAACCCCTGTCCCTGTCCCCGCAGGTGTCGCTGTCCCTGTGTCTCTGTCCCTGTGTCTCTGTCCCTGTCCCGGTGTCGCTGTCCTCTCTGTGACCCCCCTGTCCCTGTAGGTGTCCCTGCATGTGTCGCTGTCCCCCCATGACCCCCCTGTCGCTGTCCTCAGGACCCCCATGTCCCTGTCCCGATGTCCCCGCAGGTGTCGCTGTTCCTGTCTGGGTGTCCCTGTCCCGGTGTCGCTGTCCCTATGACCCCCTGTCCCTGTATCGGTGTCCCCGCAGGTGTCGCTGTCCCCATGACCCTTGTCCCTGTCGGTGTCCCCGCAGGTGTCGCTGTCCCGCGCTCCCCCCGGGCTCGGTTTCTCGCTCCGCCGCTGTTTCGTGTCCCCGCGCTCTTCGCCGGTCCCGCCGCGGGGTCCGGCCCCGGTGCCGCGGCCGCTCGTGGTGCTGCGGGGCGGCTGCGGCGCGGGGCGGGCGCGGCGGCGCCTCCGGGGCTCGTTCGTGCTCCCGGCGCGGTTCCCGGAGCCGCTGCAGTTCCTGCACTGCCGCCTGAGCCTCTGCCGCCACCGCGGCACCGGCACCGGGACCCCGCCCGGGCTGCCCACGGTACCGGCCCGGCAGCGGCGCCGCGGGACGGGAATAACGGGATAACGGGATAACGGGGGGAGAGGGATAACGGGATAACGGGATAACGGGAGTGTGATAACAGGACAAGGATGGGATGACGGGGGTGGGATGACGGGGGTGGGATAACAAGGATGGGATAAGGGAGGTGGGATAACAGGGTTGGGATAACGGGATAATGGAGATGGGATAACGGGACAGTGATGGGATAATGGGATAATGGGATAGCAGTGGGATAACGGGATAACGGGAGTGGGATAACAGGATAGCAGGGGGATAACGGTATAATGGGACAGAATTGGGATAACGGGAGTGGGATAACGGGATAGTGATGGGATAATGGGATAACGGGATAGAATTGGGATAATGGGACTGGGATAATGGGATAGCCATGGGATAATGGGATAGCAGTCAGATAACGGGACTGGGATAACAGGATAGCAGTGGGATAACAGGATAATGGGAGTGGGATAATGACAGTGGGATGACGGGATAACAGGAGAACGGGGATGGGATAGCAGGGATGGAATAACGGGAGAGCGATGGAATAACAGGATAGCAGTGGAAAAATGGGTGTGGGATAACAGGATAATGGCAGGATAGTGATGGGATGACGGGATAATGGGACAGCGATGGGATAATGGGATAGCAATGGGATAACGGGATAATGGGGATGGGATCACAGCGGGACTGGTTGGATAATAGGGGTGGGATAATGAGACAGTGATGGGATTATGGGATAATGGGATAGCAATGCGATAACGAGGATGGGATAACGGGAATGGGATAACAGCGGAACTGTGGTGGGATGACGGGGGTGGGATAACGGGGATAACAGGGATGGGATAGCAGGGATGGGATAACAGCGGGATGCCGGCAGGACAGCAGTGGGATAACGGGGATAAAGGGATAACGGGATTATGGGATAACGGGATAATGGGATAGCAATGGGATAACAAGGATGGGATAACGGGAATGGGACAACAGCAGGACCGTGGTGGGACAACAGGGGTGGGACAATGGGGTTGGGATAGTGGGGATGGGATAACAGCAGGATGCTGGCGGGACAGCGGTGGGATAATTGGGATAGAGGGATAATGGGATTATGGGATAACGGGATAATGGGATAGCGATGGGATAACAGCAGGGCAGTGGCGGGACCACAGCGGGATAACAGGACTGGGGATAACGGGAATGGGGTAACAGTGGGACTGTGGTGGTATAACAGCGGTGGGATAACGGGGTGGGATAACAGGATAGTGATGGGATAACTGGAGATTGGGAATGGGATAATGGGATAACAGTGGGATAGCCATGGGATAAGAGGGATGGGATAATGGGGATAGTGGGGATGGGATAACGGGGATAATGGGGATGGGATAAGAGTGGGATAATGATGGGATAATGGGAATGGGATAACTTGGATGGGATAACTGGACATTGTAGATGGGATAACAGGATAACAGCGGGATAGAGATGGGATAATGGGGATAAGGGGAGTGGGATAACAGGGATAATGGGAGTGGGATAATGGGATAATGGGCACGGGATAACAGCAGGACAGCGATGGGAAAACGGGATAATGAGATAACAGGGATAGGAGAAGTGGGATAGTGGGATAACAGGGATGGGATAATAGGGATGGGATAGTGGAATAACGGGATAACAGGGGTGGGATAACAGAAGATAATGGGATAGCAGGGGTGGGATAATGGGGCTAATGGAACAGCAATGGGATAACGGGGATAACGGGAATGGGATAACAGTGGGGATAGTGGGTGGGATTACAAGGACGGGATGACAGCGGGACAGCGATGGGATAACGAGGAAAAGCAGGAATGGGATAACAGGATAATGGGGATGGGATAGCGTTGGGATAACGGGGATAGCAGAGGTGGGATAAGGGGAGTGAGATAGCAGGACAGCGGGAATGGGGATAACGGGGATAGGACAATGGGAATGGGATAATGGGGATGGGATAACGGGAGTGGGATAACAGGATAACAGCGGGATAGCAGGACACTGGGAATGGGATAACAGGAATGGGGATAATGGGAATGGGGATACAATGGGATAACAACGGGATAACGGGAATGGGGTACAAAGGAAATGGGTGACACTGGGAACGGGGGACACGGGGGATGGGGAATATTGGGAATGGGGGACACCGGGAATGGGGACAGCCCTGAACCACGAGTGGGACACGTTGGGGACACACACTGGGAACAGGGACAGCAGGAGCGGGGCCATGGCAGCACCGGGACAGGGGGACACCGGGGGATGGCACCTGGGACACCGGGACGGGGGACAGGGGGGTGGCGCAGGGAATGGGGACACCGGGACAGGGGGACACGGGGGTGGCACCGGGGACACCGGGGGGCTCTGCAGGTGTCGCCCCCCGGTCCCGCCCCCGTTAACCCCGCCCCTCCCCCAGTGCCGGGCCGAGCTTTGTCCCCGCCGAGGGGGCGGAGCCTCCGGTTCAGGCCCCGCCCCCCGCCCCCGGCCCCGCCCCGGTCCCGTGCGCACCGTGACCCGCCCGATCGTGGTGACCCTGGGGACACCAGCGACCCCCGCGCCCGGTACGGGACCCCCGGGCGGGGACACCCCCGGGACCCCCCTCGGGACCCTCGGACCCCAAATTCCGCCCCAACCCCGGGACCCCCTGACCGGGACCCCCCCACTGGGACCGCCCCCCCAAACCGGGATCCCCCCCACAACCGGGACCCTCTGACAAAGACCCTGCCTACAACCGGGACCCCTCCCCAAACCTGGGACCCTCCCATAACCGGGGACCCCTCCCCACTACAGGGACCCCTCCCCACACCGGGACCCCCACAACAGAGACCCCTCCCCAAACCGGGACCCCTCCTACACAACCGGGGACCCCCCCTACAACCGGGACACCCCGAGCCCAACCGGGACCATCCCTCCAAAACCGAGACCCTCCCACACAACCGGAGACCCCCCCTCCACAACCGGGACCCCTTGACAGAGACCCCCCACCCCCCTCCGGGACACCCCCAGCCCAACCGGGACCCCCCCCACACAACCTCGGACCCTCCCAAACCGGGACCTCTCCCCAAATCTGGGACGCCTCCACAACCGGGGACCCCTCCCCAAACCAGGACCCCTCCCCACAACCGGGGACCCCTCGAAACAGAGACCCTTCCTCAAACGGGACCCCCCCCACAACCGGGCCCCCCAATCCCCACCCGCTCCCGGTGCCCCCCCATCATCGCCCTTCCCTCCCTCTCCCCGCCAGGTGCCCCCCCGGGGCTCCCCCCGCTGCCGTTCCCGCCGCCCCCGCCCCTCCCGCGCCCCCCGCCCCCACCCCGGGAGCGGCCCCGCGCCCCCCCCGCGGGTGAGTGACAGCAATGGGGGGGGGCACCGGGACCCCCGGGACTGGGGAGTTTGGGGGGTCCCGGAGCGCCGAGTGTCCTTTTGGGGGGGTTTATGGGGGGGGTGGGGAGGAGACCCCCGGCTCTTTTTTTGGGGGGGGGGGGGTCCTGAACTCCTGGGTCCCTTTTGGGGGGTTTGAGGGAGGATTTTGGGGGGTCTCGAACTGCTCAGTCCCTTTCGGGGAAGGGGCTTTGGGGGGGGTCCCGGATCCCTGGGTCCTTCCTGGGGGAGTTTGAGGGGGCCGGGGGGCCGGGGGGGGTCTTGGGGCTCTGGTTTCCCTTTTGGGGAGGGTCCCGAACTCCGGGGTCCCTTTGGGGGGCGTTAGAGGAGAATTTGGGGGGTCTCGGCCGCAGATTTGGGGGGTTTAGGGGGGAACTGGGGGGTCCCAGCCCCAGATTTGGGGGGTTTAAGGGGGAATTCGGGGGGTCCCGGCCCCGGGGGGGTTTGTGGGGGGAATTTGGGGGTCCCGGCCCCCAGATTTGGGGGCTCCCGATTTCCGGGCGCTGACGCTGCCCCCCAGCCCCCCCCGTGCCCCCCGGGGCCGTGGCCGCCGTTTCCTTCGGTGCCTTCGTGGTGGGGGTGGCGCTGGCGGGGGGGCTCTGGTTCATGCACGGCCGGACAGGTGAGGGATCCCCCCCCAAAATCATCCCCGTGCCCCCAAAATCATCCCCTCAATGTGATCCCCCTCCCCAAATAATCCCCGAACCCCCCCAACAATCCCCCACGCCAAATAATCCCCCTCCCCAAATAACCCCCGAACCCCAAAAGACCCCCCAAAATCATCCCTGTCCCCCCAAAATCATCCCCGCAATGTGATCCCCCTCCCCAAATAACCTCCGAACCCCCCAACAATCCCCCACCCCAAATAATTCCCCTCCCCAGAATATTCCCCTCCCTAAAATAACCCAATCCCCCCAAATAATCCCTATCCCAAATAATCCCCATCCCAAAAGAACTCCCCCAAAATAATCCCCACCCCCTCAATATAATCCCCCTCCCTAAAATAACCCAATCCCCCCAAATAACCCCCAAAATAATCCCGATCTTAAAATGATCCCCATCCCAAAATAATCCCCATCCCCTCAATATAACCCCCCCCCAAATAACCCCCAACCTCCAAAAGATCCCCCCAACAATCCCCCACCCCAAATAATTCCCTCCCCAAAATATCCCCCTCCCTAAAATAATGAAATCCCCCCAAATATCCCCCAAATAATCCCCAACCGACAAGAGTCCCCCAAAATAATCCCCACCCCCCAAATAATTCCCCTCCCTAAAATAACCCAATTCCCCCAAATCCCCATCCCAAAATAATCCCCATCCCAAAAGAACTCCCCCAAAAGAATCCCCACTCCCCCAGAATAATCCCCCTCCCCAAAATCTGCCCCCAAACCCCATCCCTGGGTCCCGCCCCTCACCCCCAGGGCTGAAACCTCCCCCAAAACTTCCCCTTTGCCCCCCCCCCCAAATTCACCCCCAGGACCCCCCAAATTCACCCCAGGACCCCCCAATTCCCCTTTAACTGAGACTCCCCCAAAATTCTCAGAGCCCCTCCCCCCAGTTTGGGGTGGGAGCCCCCTTCCCCTCCCCCCCTGATCTCTGCCCCTCCCCCCGCAGCCCCTCGGCCTCCCCCCGGCCCCAGCGCTGCCCCCCAGCCCAGGAGGGGCCAGGTACTGGGAGCACTGGGAGCACTGGGAGCACTGGGAGCACTGGGAATGGGCATTGGGAGCACTGGGAATGGCACTGGGAGCACTGGAGGGACTGGAAATGGTACTGGGAGCACTGGGGGGGATCTTGAGGGAACTGGGAGCACTGGGGTGAACTGGGAGGGACGTGGGGATATTGGGGGGGTCACTGGGAAGGGATACTGGGAGCACTGGGGGGAACTGGTCATACTGGGGATACTGGGAGTGGCACAGGGAGTACTGGGAGCACTGGAGGGGTCACTGGGAGGGACTGCGGGGGGACTGGGAGTAATGGAAGGGGGGACTGGGAGCACTGTCCTCACTGTCCCTGTCACTGTCACTGTCCCTGTCATTGTCACTGTGTCACTGTCACTGTGTCACTGTCACTCTGTCACTGTCACTGTCACTGTGTCACTGTCCCTGTGTCACTGTCACTGTGTCACTGTCACTGTCACTGTGTCACTGTCACTGTCCCTGTCACTGTGTCACTGTCACTGTCACTCTGTCACTGCCACTGTCATTGTCACTGTCACTGTGTCCCTGTCTCTCCTCAGGACACCCCAGCCGTGTCTCCAGCCAGGGCAGAGCTGCACCCCGGGCTCATCGCACTGGAGGCAGGAGACAGGAGCAGCAAACTGGGAAATTCATTCATTAATCATTAATTAACCATTAATTAATCGGAAGTTCTGCCAATGTCTGTAACCAATGAGCGCTGTTAAAATGTCCCGATGGTGCAAAGCTTTGCTGGGGGCGGAGAGGAGAGAGAACTTTGGGGAACTCCCCACATTTGGGGGACCCCCCCATCTTTGGGGACCCCCACCTTTGGGGGAACCCCCGGCCCCTGCTGTGAACATTGGGGGTCCGGCCTTTGGGGAAACCTCCCACCTTTGGGGACCCCCCCACCTCAGGGGACCCTCCCACCTTTGGGGACCTCGCACCTTTGGGGGAACCCCTGGCTCCTGCTGTGACCATTGGAGGGGTCTGGCCTTTGGGGACCTCCCCACTTTTGGGGAAGCCCTCACCTTTGGGGAGCCCCCCACATTTGGGGGACACCCCTACCTTTGGGGTACCCCCCCACCTTTGGTATACCCCCACCTTTGGTGACCCCCCGCTTTTTGGGACCCCCGCACCTTTGGGGAACCAGCAAACAGCAGCTGTCGAGGGTCCCCATGCCCGGGAATGGGCGGGTCAGGGGGTCCTGGTTCAGGATTAGGGGGTACAGGGGGTCCCGGTGGTGGATAAGGGGGTACAGGGGGGTCCCGGTTAAGGATAAGGGGGTACAGGGGGTCCCGGTTCAGGTACAGGATGAGGGTTCAGGATAAGGGGTTCAGGTACAAGGTCCCGGTTCAGGATAAGGGGGCACAGGGGGTCCCGGTGGTGGAGAAGGGGTACAGGGGGTCCCGGTTCAGGATTAGGGGGTACAGGGGGTCCCGGTTAACGATAAGGGGCTACAGGGGGCCCCGGTTCAGGATGAGGGGGTACAGTGGGTCCCTGTTCAGGATGAGGGGGTACAGGGGGTCCCGGTTCAGGATGAGGGGTACAGTGGGTCCCTGTTCAGGATGAGGGGGTACAGGGGGTCCCGGTTCAGGATGAGGGGTACAGTGGGTCCCTGTTCAGGATGAGGGGGTACAGGGGGTCCCGGTTCAGGATGAGGGGTACAGTGGGTCCCTGTTCAGGATGAGGGGGTACAGGGGGTCCCAGTGATGGAGAAGGGAGGGCAGGGGGCTCCGTGCCCAGAGGGTCGGGAGGGTCCCCGTGCCCGGGAATGGGCAGTTCAGGGGAGTCCCGGTGCCGGGGGTCCCTCTGTCCATTCGCTGCCCCCCAGGAGCCCCCGGAGCGCCCCCAGACCCAGCCCTGGAGCCTCGGCCCCACCCCACCTGTGATTGGCGCCACCGCCGCGCTGCAGCCAATGGCAGCCAGCGGTGTTCGTGACGTCACCGGTCGCTGGGCAGATCCCAGAGGCGCTGTTTGGGAGGCGCGAAAGTGACCGAAGGGCGCGGTGGGGGCGGGGAATCCCTGGGAATTCCCCCGGGACCCCCTGGGATCGACCCCGGATCACCCGGGGCCCGTCCATCCCGTTCCTGGGGTCCCTCATTCCCGGGGTCCTTCATTCCCGGGGTCCCTCATTCCCGGGGTCCCTCATTCCCGGGGTCCCTCATTCCTGGGGTCCCTCATTCCCGGGATCCCTCATTCCCAGGGTCCCTCATCCCCGGGGTCCCTCATTCCCGGGGTCTCCTGTTTCCAGGATCCCTCATTCCCGGGGTCCCTCATCCCCGGGGTCCCTCATCCCTGGTGTGAAAAACGCCAATCACTTGTTTTTAAAATTTTAAAAGTTTAATAGTAACATAATTGTTATAAAAATAGTAATACAATTAGAGTGATAATAATTTGGACAAATTGTATTAGGACAATATGAGACAATAGAGACATAGAGTTACGGATGTCCGGGTACCTTTTTCTCGCAGCACGAGCCCGAAAAAGGACACTTGTTAACAGAGGATTAACCCTTAAAAGAAATAACCTGTTCCATATTCATCCACCTCATACATGATGCATAAATTCCATTCAAACACAGGATTCTGTCTGGTCATCGTCAACTTTTTCCTCCGAATCCTGACAGTGCCTTCGAGGCAGGAAAAAGTTCGTTTCTTCTGATAAGGGAGGAATAAATTCTTTTTCTCTGAAAGATTCAGGTGTCCTGTGGCTGCTATCTTGCTGCGAGTCCTTTCTTTTAAAAAAAGTATCCTCCATAGCAGAGTTTCTATTTTAACATTTTTTATAACCTAAAACTATATTTAACACAGTACTTAAGAGAATCAATACAGCATAACTTTCTAACACAACACATATAATATTCATTTTAATAATTGCAAAAAGCCAATCATAAAATACATGCATTTTTCACACCGGGGTCTCTCATTCTCAGGGTCCCTCATTCTCAGGGTCCCTCATTCTCAGGGTCCCTCATTCCCAGGGTCCCTCATTCCTGGGGTCTCCTTTCCCAGCATGACACTGTTGAGTCAGGGATGGAAAGAAAGACTCCATTCTTCAGGTGAATCAGAAAGCAAAAGAATAATTCCTTTATTAGCAAAAAGTTGTGAACTTTATAGTCTCACTCGCTAAGCTGGACCTGATTGGTCTCAAAGTGAAAACATCTCACATTATTGGTGACTATGAATAGCACACTCTAGAGAACCATAACTATAAACAGTGGTTACAGAAAGAGAGATAATAATTGTTTTCATTCTTTCCTCTAAGATTCCCAGGCTCAGCCTGGGAGAAATTATCTCTGTTCTTTCTTTGACTGAACTGAGAATATCCACACCAGTGCACCCTGAATCCCTCACCTGGACACCCATCTGTATCACCCCCACACCTGTTCTCCCCCAGCTGTCCATCAGACCCTCTCTGCTGGGGGCACCCAGAAAAATGTGGGGACCCCTGTCATGATCTGTCCTCATGAACGGGCTTCGTGATGGTTCGCGGGGGTGATCTCAGGGTGCAAAAAACTGACATGGCACAGGGGATTTGCAGTAACAATGAAGCAAGGGCAACTTTATTGAAATAACCACAGCAGGAATGCACTGGGGAGGGAACCGGGGAAGAAAAGGAGAAAATGAGGGAAAAGAGGAAGGAAGAAGAATGGGTTATAGCTACCAAACGTGGTACTGCGTTGTCCTTTGGGGTCCAGCCGATGGAGCCTGCCAGGTCACGTCCGGGGAGATCTCGGAGGCACAGTTCATCTGGACCCCGATTATACTCTTTTTCCTTGGGGGAAGGGGGAATAAATTTCTCAACCGAAACAAAGGTCTTCAGGGGGAAAGAATAGCATTTGAAAGGGGGGTACACAAAGTCCAAGCTAGGCAGCAGGCGAGAGCCATTGTTTTCGTGGTCCATTGCCTGTACCTGCAACATCCATCTTGCTTTGGGCAGCTTTCCTTCCCCCCCTGCACACCTCCCCTGAGTTTGAGGGGGTTTCAGTCCCAGTCTCTGGAAGAAGGTGAGAGGGGGCCTTCTCACATAGGGATTTCATGTCTCAGTCTCTTGATGAAGAGGCTTCTTACATCTCTCCTTGTCTGTCACGGTGGTTATGAACGGGCGAGAGGGGCATTCCTTTGGAGGGGGACCACCCTAAAGCTTAGGAGAAATCCAGCCAGGCCGAGAGGTGGGGAGGATTCCAGAGCTATTGTGCAAAAGGGCACGGTGCCCTGTGAGCTCAGTGTAGCATACAGCAAACAACACCTGTGAACAATAGCTTAACACTGAGCTTTCAGCTCTCAGGGCCTTTGGCGTGTGTAACTTTCTCCTACAAAGCCAGAGATTCTAGACAGGGGGGTCTTCTCTTCAGTAGCCCCCAATGACGATCATGAGGCAGATGAGGGATAATTTGGACAGACTCTCACAACCCCCCGGCCCCTCCCCACCTGCCCAGCCAGGGAGGAGCTGGACTCAAGCAACTGGGACACGAGATGGGGTGTCCACTGCTCCCAGTGCCCCCAGCGCCTCATCTCCATGCTCCCAGTTCTCTTCAGAGCTCCCAGTAGGACTCCTTGGCTTCCCTGAGTGCTCCCAGTTCCAACCAGCGCTCCCAGTAGGACTCTCAGTTCACTCCTGGTGGACTCAGTGTTGCTCCCTGCAGCGCCATCCCAGTCTCACCCCTTGTGTCCCTCACTGCTCCCAGTGCCATCCCCGTGTCACTCCCAGCGCCATCCCGGTGTCATTCCCAGCATGACCTCAGTGCTCCCAGTTTACTCCCAGTTCATTCCCAGTGCTCCCAGTTCACTCCCAGTGCCATCTTTGGGTCACTCCCAGTCTGACCTCAGTGCTCCCAGTTCACTCCCAGTGCTCTCAACTCACTCCCAGTGCTCCCAGGGTCACCCCATGGCTCCCCCCACATAATTTTAATTTCTCTTGATTCTTGGGCTCACCCCAAACTGGCTCCGGCTCTTGCGGATTCATCAACAGCAGAGCAAAGGGGAATTTTTGGGGAAGCAACAGAACACCCGACAGCACCAGAACTCCCAGTGTTTCACCCACTGTTCCAAGGCAACACCTAAATCTGGCTCTTCCCACCTAAACCTGGCTCTTCCCACCTAAACCTGGCTTTTCCCACCTAAATCCGGCTCTTCCCACCTAAATCCAGCTCTTCTCACTTAAACCAGGCTCTTCCCACCTAAACTCGGCTCTTCCCACCTAAATCCAGCTCTTCCCACCTAAATCCAGCTCTTCCCACCTAAACCCGGCTCTTCCCACCTAAACTCAGCTCTTCCCACCTAAACCCGGCTCTTTCACCTAAACCTGGCTTTTCCCACCTAAACCTGGTTTGTCCCACCTAAACCTGGCTTGTCCCACCTAAACTCAGCTTTTCCCATCACCAACTCTGGGAAATCCCACGTGCCAAGGACCCGAAATCCCAGACATGGCACCGAAGCAGAGACACAAAAGAGACACAAAACTTCCTGCAGAGTCCCAGCCCAGAATCCTGCAGCTTCTTTGGCCGTTCCCAGCCTGGAGAACACCCTGAGATCATCCCAAGCACAGAGATGGGGGATGAGAACACCCTGATCTCCTCAGAACCCCAGGATGGAGGTGGGGGCTGAGGACACCAAAGCTTCCAGGCCTAGGGGTTTGAGGAGATGCTGTAGGAACCCCCAGCCCCACT